CATGAATGTTTTGTAAAATATTCAAGAAAAACACAACCGTATTTACATGGGGAAAAGAGAGAGAGAGAGGCGTTGGTCAATTGCTAGAGTAATATACCATAGGTTAAGAAAGATGGTAGTGAAAAGGAAAGAAGGAAATACCATATATCACACATATACTTGATTTAGCGAATGAATATGTTTTTAGTTCGCTTATAGTAATACATTCAGTACTCATTCTTTTACCAACGAGTCAATCATAGAGAAACAACTCATATAAGTACTGTTCACTTTTTTTGTCACCACCATATGACAAGATAGAGTGATAAATTTATTCGAAACATTAACATTTGTGATTAAATATGTGTTTATTTTGTGATATAAAGAAGAAAAGCATAGAGTGTCTATAGAACTGAAATTGTGAAAAAAAGAATCTGAATAAATAAATTGTTTAGAATGAATATTTGTCAATAATAAAAATAGTCTATGAAATGTTCTTAACATAGATTTAAAAGAACATTCATAGTATATTGTGCAGTAGTAAGAGCAATATCTATTTTGCCATCTCTATTGAAATCTCCAGTTGTAACGGCATAAATATTCCAATCAGTGATAAATCGTTGACATGCTTCAAATATTCCATTTTGTTTATTTAAAAAAATGCAAATAAAATCATCATCACTATTTCCAGCAATAATATCAATGAATGTATCATTATTTAAATCAACCAGTGCTACTGCCCGTGAATGTCCGCCGACATTATATGTATCGAATTTATTAAAATTTCCATGTCCATCATTTAAAAAAACATTTATAGCAAATGTATAACCATTAGTATTAACAATATCTATAAAATTATCATTATTTAAATCAGCAGTGGCTATACCCAATGGTACAGGACTTGTATAAATTTTTTTTTTATTTTTAAATATTCCATTTTTAGGATTAATATAAAGACTAAGTGTATTATCAGTATAATCAGCAGTAACAAAATCAGGATACGAATCATTATTAAAATCTGCAACAGATACACCTGTAACATCATTTCCAACTGGATAGGTTTCAGAATAACTGAATGATAAATTATAATAATCATATAAAATAGTAACAGAAGCATCATGGTCATTAGTAACAATAACATCTAATAAATTATTTTTATTAAAATCTGACATAGCAATCCAATATGGATAATTTCCAACTGGATAAGTTATTGGTGAATTAAAATTTCGGTTGCCCTTACTAATGAAAATGGCAATTTGATTTGTATTAGTATAAGTTAAAATTATATCAGATTTATTATCATTATTCATATCTCTAACAGCAACATACAAAACACCTGAAGTCGTGCTATATAATTGTTGACTTCCAAATGTTCCATTTCCGAAACCATAGAATATACTAATAGTTGTACCTCCTTCATTAACAACAACAATATCAAGGAAAGAATCTCCATCTAAATAACCATTGTTTATTGACCATGGGACAGTTCCAGTTGGATAACTTGTATAATCTGAAAATTCTAATGGATTACATGGAATATCTAGAAGAGATTGTTTTTATTTTCATAAGAAAAACTAATCGTTCACCTACATGAAGAATTTATATTTGAAATATTTCTTGAAATTGATGTTGTCACTAAACGAATACATTTATTTACATATACATATGACGTTATTTTATTATTACCTTCAGTAGAACTTGTTTTCATTCGAGTTGCTCTTGTCGTTCTTTTCAAAACGCTTGTCGTTCCTACAAATACTTCTATTATTTAATCTTTAGAGAAATAATTTCAAATGAAACTAATATTAAAAATCTCAACTGAATCATTATTTATCTTACTAAGGATGATATTTTACCAAATACAGTACAGTTATCTATTTGTCTTGATCGGGTAAAGTGAAACTAGTCTACATGTAACTCTAATATTTAAAGAAAATTGTTATTACCAATGTTATAGTTTATACTAGTGGATGAAAATGATGATTGATAACGAATGAATATAACTACTGCAACAATACCAAGAATGACTGATATATGAATAAGAACACAACTCCAAAGAAGAAGTCGACATTTTGTTGATAAAATACTTTCTCTTGAAAAAAAATCTTTTTTTAGATTGAAATATTAATTGAAATAAATAGTATTACTTTTGAGAGTGATCTTCTGGAATTGATAGTACTTGCATTGAAATTTTCTTGCAATAAACACAGCTAAAAATTAATAAAGAACAATAAAAACTATAATTCAACTTCTTCTCACAAGAAAATAATACGGTTTTACTTCTTTTTTTAAAATCGAGTTTCTCTTGTCAAACTCTCAACTAAAATAGATTAATAAAATGAAAGTTATCAATATAGCTGCTTTAAATCTATTTACTTTACACTGATGATGAAAATGATTGTTGATTTTGTCCTTGTTAGAAAATAAAAAAAATATATCAGTATTACTAACAACATTTCTAATATATACGCCATAAATACGTTACTATTTCATCTTAAAAATGGTTTTAACCTTGAAAAAAAAATTATTTTAAGAGAATAAAAAAAGTAATCATGTGTTTGTTTATTCACTAGAAATCACTGTTTTCAAATGGAAAATTTCTATTATAAAACTTCTCAATATTATCTGAAAAATAACCAAATCTTTTATTCAATTATTAACCTATACAAGAATTCCATTGATTATATTATTTAACAAAAAATCTACTCAGATTTTTTTTCTTTAATTAAAAAGAATAAATAATCGTTCATTTTTTGTCTTTTGCTCCATGCAATAAACTAATTTCTTTATGTTGTTCTTTTTAGACGTAAGTTAACAATATAAGTTTATGAAAAAAAATTGAAATAGTCAAGTGATTGAGATTACTAATTTAGTGGAATTTGTAGGAATGAATATTTTCATTTATATATTTCTAAAAAAAGAAACTTAAAATGAGAATACTCGAGGATTTATCTTAACTGTTTATGTAAAATAAATAAAAAAAAAATTTCTCTGAAATTAGATTTTTGATAAAATGTATTTTTATAAGAAGAGTTTTATTTATTTATTTTAAATACTAATTTCGAATAGAACAAATGAAAACATATTTGGTCGCATTTCTTACCCCGTTTATGTGGACATATTTAAAAAAAACGAATGACAAGTGAGAAACGTAAAAAACCTCATTTATATTTAGAAAGGATTTTTTTGTTCTTAAATTATTGAATACTTTTACTTTTGTGTGGGCACTATCTGAGCGCACACTTCTACGGACATGTCCGAGACGCATGATATCCCTGAAACGCATGACATCTCTGAAATGCACAACATCTCTGAAACGCATGACATCTCTGAAACGCACAAAACCTATGAAACGCATGATATCTCTGAAACGCACAACATCCCTGAAGCGCATGATAGAAATGCAGTTTCTTGTTTCAAGAAAAAAATACAAAACGTTTCTAAGGAGACAAAAGTTGGAATCATTTCCATAGTGTTGTTGATTCATAAATGAAACAAAATTCATCTTCACCAATAAAAAAAAGTTTCCTTCAAAAAAAAGATTCGCCCACATTTGTTTGTTTTTTCCCAAACAATTTTTTCTGACTTGTATAAAAGGTCTAACACACTTATGTTGTTACATGTCATATTTAAAAAAGAATAATTATATTGATCTCAAACGACAACAACATTTCTTCTGCTGACTAATTCATTACATTAACTTCCTAGGTAAATTTTATTCTTAATTCATTTAATAAAAACATTTATAATCCAATCCTTTCAATTCAATTTTAATTCTAACAAAACTTTAACGAGATAGTTATTACCATTTCCAGTAACACATCTTTTTTTTTATTACTCTCTCTATCCAAGTGAAAGATCTATTAAGCAAGATATTTCACTAGTATATGTTCTTCATTTAAATCATATTAATATTCATGATTTATCATCAATTACTATTGTGATCATTTGAGATAAGTAGTCAGTGCCGAATCTCTTTGGTATTGATTATAATATATTTCTTCATAAACAACTAATTAACTATGAATACCTTTTCATCAGTAATATTAACAACAGAGATACTGTAAAGATCTTCTCTTTCACACAAAGATCAGTTGTTTATACATCTTTATTGAAATTTAGTCAATAATTATCAGTTCATTTTTTTATCATATAAATCTCATCTATCTTTCAGCTAATCAATCAACTGAATCGTACAGAAAGAAAGATGTTCATTGAGAAATTATGCTGTTTACTTTACCTATTTCTTAACTACTTTTATTATATTATTTTGGTTTTTCTTCTTCAATTTCTATCATTTTGATTATTGTGAGTGGTAGAAACATAGAACAAGGAAAACGTTAATCGAATAGCGAATATGATTTACATGATGATACTGCATATAGTCTACAGTTCTTCTTTTAGGATCGCAATACATTAAATAATTGTTTTTTTTTATATAAATTTAGTTCAATGGACTATAGTTAACAAATATTATTCGATTTAAAATAAAAGGCAAGTGACTATTCTTTTAATAACTTTTGTTGAATATGTAAGCAACACCTGTGATTTTCACCTGGTCGAAAGAAAGATGCTTCTGTTTCTTGATGGATTTTCATTGATTACTTGATCTCGCGAATCTATAATTAATGAAACTACATCGAGAAAAAATATCAGTCGAAATACTTCTACATTGAAGCATCTTTTGCTCCAGTAACTCTCGTTCAGATTCTTCGCCCAAACCTCGCTCCTTTGATTGGTGAAAACCGTATGTGTAAATTATATATTAAACAAAAATTCATCAAAAAATAATCACTCGCCTTTTATTTTGAATCGAATAATAAGTGTAACGGGCAGTTCTTTTTTTTGAGAATTTATGTCGAAAATAAATTGTGAAATAATTTAGAATTTCTATATTTTATGAATTAAATTTATATGTATATATAAGTGAAGAGCACTTAAACTGTACTGGTGGATTTCACAAAGAAAAATAACTAAAGATCGAGTTTCCCCGGGACGAATTTTGATATTTTTTTCTTTTGTTAATCTAGACATGGTTATTCACTTCTGAAAAAATCATGTTTTCATCCGTTTTAATTTACAAGAAATCAAATCAAGTTTCCTTGAGTTTATTGGAGTTTTTACAACTAGAATCATTGAAGTTATTAAGTATTTTCACACTATATTATTGTTTTTTTTTGCATTAGATGACGTTTTATGAGTGAAAACTATCAATAATGCTTGTTTAGACATTTCTAGCTTTTGTGTAGAGTGATATTGATATCATCTGTGTTTCATTTGAACAGATGTAACTAAATATCACAGAGAAATAAAGAGAAAATGTTCAGCAGTGTCCAAGAACTGAGAAATGGAAACTCCTAAACTATTAAGAAGTTGTCAACAGAGTGATGATAATTCCTTAAAGAATCGAGAACTGATCATTAATTCCCTCATAAGTCGACTATTCATAATAATCAAAAAGATGCATATTCATTAGCAGTTTTCACATTCACACATTTTCTAACTAATATATATATGAGAGCAAAAAATAGCGTGAATAATGTGACTTTTGATTCTGGCGATCAAAGAACTGAGAGGAAATTGAGGAGGAATTCTTATTTTTAAGTCCTTGGCCATACCACTCCATTTCATTTTTTATTTTATTTTCTTTTTCATTTTTCTAACTATATTCATCTATACATATTTTTTTTAGTTCCTACTCTGTTATGGTTGATTTCAATACAGAGTAGATTATTAGATCTTCAATACATTCTTTGATTATATGGCAACTTTATAGTTTAAGCATCAACAAAAGACTCCCTTACACAAACTTAGGAGCACAGCCGCTGTAGTCTTATTCCTTTATCAAGAATAACACAATACAGGTAGGAAGTTAACAAGAGAAGATAATTCTACGCAGACCCAGGTTTCGAAAAATTATCACCCCGTTACGCACGTACGTGGGGAGAACAATCAGATCTATCCAGAAAACGTAACACCTAGGAAATCTAGTGGAATCATAAGTACCCTGTCGAATATCCATTGCTAGTCATCACCTGCCTAATTCAAGTTCGAATATAAATAAATAAGAGAGTGCCTAATTATAACTCGAAAATACATTCAACAATACAATAGCTATTCTCTATAGCTCATAAGCGGCGCCAAGGATAAAGTTTTAGATTTAGATATATACATATATACAGATACATATACATAGGAGTTTCACTGTGAGATTTATGATATAGATATAGATTTCGACATCTAGATATTTAAAGGGGGAACCCTGCGCGGTTTAGAATATAGATATACATATATACATAGATATATGGGGATCCTTGTGAGATGTATAATATAGATATATATGCATACATAGATGTAGGGGATCCCTGTGAAGTGTATGATATAGATATAGGTTTCGACATATATATATTTATAGGAGGATCCCTGTGAGGTGTGTGATATAGATGTACGTACATACATACATAGATATGGGAGGATCCCTGTGAGGCATATGATATAGATATACATATTTACATAGATGTAGGGGATCCCTGTGTGGCTTAATATACAGATATACATACATACATACATACATACATACATACATACATACATACATACATAGATATAGGGGTGTACCTGTGAGGTTTAGGATATATATACATTGACATAGG